TACATGTTTAGTTATCTATAACTGCCACGTCATCTTTACATAACTGGCGCCATTTAAGATTGAATTCTGTTTACACACAAACTGAATATAGCACACATTAATTTTATATCCAAACACGGCTAGCATGAGGAATGCTATAGAATGTGGTGTCTGAGAGTCAGCGATAAAGATTTATTGCCCTGTGAATAGGGTTCTGTGAACAACATGGATTTTCTGACAGCGAATTGTATGGAATTTATCAAGAATACAGGACGTGCCTTCCGTTACATTGTAGAAAAATAGATTTTGTGACTTCATTATCTACTTGGCTTTATTAGCTACCTGAATGTGAATAGTGCTGATATCACTTAATAAATATAATAGAGTTCTTTTTGCTAAATATCTCTCTGACTACAATGTAAAATTTACAAATGACAAGCCACGGGGTTCAGGGAACAGCTAAAGGTTATCAGACTGTCTGCAGCAAATCCTGCTCCGCACAGTTTGATTCTCTTTAAAGGGAAACAACCTCCACTCAATCTATAGGTCGTGGAGCACAAACCATGACTGGAGCTTTAATATCCATGATTAGCATATATCCATATAGCATATATAGGAAAGATCAAATTGACAGGTTATTTACAGCAAAAGCAGGGGCTTCCAAGGTACAATTTAAGTATTTGTATACATTTATATATTTAAAGCACTAAATTTGGGGTCTACTCTTTCTATACTTGTCCCCAACACACAAGAAAGAGGATACCCACAAAATGTGGGTCCAAAAAGCCTTAGAGTGGCCAGACTTAACGTATAAAAAGATACAATCAAAGTCATGACTGGTGCATGGTCGGATTTTGGCCTCTGGGGAGAAACAACTGCCCCACCCCCACAAATCAAGACACAGACACCGGGTGTATGGGTAAAATAATTGCAGAACTTTTAGTAAAGCAACTTAGTGCATAACTTGTTTGGGTCCTTGTCACACACTCGACACCCCTTTAAACAATCTGTATAAACGCCACCACCACCATACAACACAATGACCCACACGTATAATACTGACAGCCAAATAACACCATAAACATGACACCATAAAGTGAAATTAACAATTAATGTGCCCGCCTCCTGTACACCAACCTTAAAACCAAATAAACTGATTTTTAACCCATCATAATAATAATACAACCCTTTCCCCTCCTTAATCTAACTCTCCAGCCCCTGCCACTGTGACCACCTACTAAATTAAAGGGAGGGTTAGTGGGACCAGATTAGCAGAACCAGATTAGAATGAGGTATTTTTTAAAATGGCTGCACTATTTATATACAGCCAGCCCCCTAACTGCCCATAGGCAATCCCCCACCATTAATGCCCAACTCCTCACCCAGTCAAGACCCACTTCACTAAGCTGAGCTTGCTACTTGGGGTTCAGGAAAAGCCAAGGTCAGGAATACAGATATACGGGCACACAAGAAATAAGCTGGGTCAAGATAATAGAAATACACACATCAATATACACGCCAGGTCAGAATACCAGAAGTCCTCAAAGTCAAAACGAAGCACTACACATGTAACCAGACAGAAACCACAATAGGGCAATGAGTAAGGGCCTATACAAGCCCTAAGTAACTTCACAAGTGTTCTGATTGGTCCACGACATCTGTGCGACTCCAAACAGCTAGATGACATGGTCCCTTTAAGGGTGGGCATGGCTTCATTAATTTCAAATCTATTTAAGGATGAGCCCACTGGCGAAAGCGAGGAGCCATGTGGAGCAGTTGGGCCATGACAATAGAGAGGAGCTGCTCGGCACGGAGCAGGTGAGTATTGCGACATTACCTTCCACCCCAGGAGGATACACCTACTGGGTGTGAAGGACTAGCTTGCTTGGGTGACGGAGATAAGAGATAAAAAAAATGGATAATTTGGGGACATCAACGTGATGGACCTAATAACGGTCTTCAGGACCATATCCCTTACAATGAACAAGATACCCCTTAGGAATCTAGAGTCAAGGATAGCAGCAACCTCCCACTCCTCAACTGAAACAGGAGGCGGAGGAGCATGAAGGAATAGTAAAACGATTACACACCAGAGATACCAGCAGGGAGGTATGAAAGAGATTAGGCATATGCATGGAATAAGGTAAGTTTAAAGCTTACAAAACAGGGTTCTCCTTGCGCAGGATGAAGAAAAGACCAATAAAACAAGGAGTAAACTTCATGGAAGGTACTCAGAGATGGATATTTTGTGTAGAAAGCCAAATCCTGTCCCCCACCACATGGGAAGGAGCTGCATGACGATGCCTATCCACCTGAGTCTTCTGTCTCTAAGCAGAATCAATCAAGAGCTGTTGTACCTACTCCCAAGTACTATGCAAACCAGCCATATGCTCCTCCACAGCTGGTATTTCCTGTGAGGAGAACGCAGTCGTGAGAACAACAGGATGCCGGCCAAAGACAATGTAGAAAGAGCTAGCTTCTGAGTATACATTAGTCACATTATTTGGAGCAAACTCTGCCCAAGAAAGCAGGTCAACCCAATCATACTGGTGATGAAAATGTTGCAATGAATGTACTGCTCTAGAGACTGGTTAGCAGCTCCATTAGTCTGAGGATGGTAGGCAAAGGAAAAGGACAACTCAATACCCATCTCAGAGCAGAAAACCCTTCCAGAAGCAGGAAATTAATTGATTACCGATTTCTGACACAATTTTTTCCGGTATACCATGGAGACGGAATACCTCTCTGGAGAAAATCCTGGCCATCTTAGAAAACCTGTCTATGACCAGAAGTATAAAAGTGTGTCCATTAGAAGGTCTACAATAAATTCGATAGACAAACTAAACCAGGGTTTCATTGGTATGGGTAAAGGTTGATGCAGACCACAAGGTAACCTGTAAACAATTTTGTTAGCAGCACAAATATCACAAGCTTGTACATATTCCTTTATGTCCCCCTTTAGGGAAGACCACCAGAAGTCACAAGAAACAAGGTTAGTGGTCTTGGTTATACCGGAATGCCCTGAGGGCTTGTTCTTATGACATGATGACATAACCTCCTTTCTGGCCCCATGGATAACAAACAACTTATTGTTAGGTTTGTAATGAGGGATTCAGATCGAGAAGACATGATGCAATTAAAAAGCAAAGAGGACATGGAAAGAACCGTTGTAGTTGCAATTTAAACTGCATGGACAAAGTAAGTAATTATGAGATTGAACCTGGACAAGAAAAACAACCTTCTCACCTGCCTTGAGTTAAGCCTTTCAGCCTCTCCAAGGTACAAGAGGTTCTTATGATCAGTTAAAACCACGATGGGATCTTGGGAACCTTATACAGATGTATCCATTCTTTTAGGCTACAATTATGGCCAAAAGTTCTCTATTCCCAATATCATAATATCTCAGCCATGGTGTCGTAACGGCAGTGCAGAGACTGAAACTGTAAGGGAGAAAAGGTAAGTACAACTGCTTTTTACCATATTGCAAGTGTGGCTGGGAACCTAAACTTTTAACAGGGCACTATAGCATTAGGCAATTCCTAACCCTAAAATGTTCCTTTCAGTAAAACTTTAGCTAATTGTAACCTGCACTTGAATAGATAACTATAATCTACTTGAATGGATTATATCGTCAATGTTAGTTTGCATCTAATCAACAAGCCTAAATTTTGGCTTCTCTTTGATTCCCCAGCAATTCTTACTATAGTAAATAACCCTGTAGGTTTTCTTGTGCCTGTTGGGCTGTTCAAGATATTTAGTAAAATGTAACCTTATATCTGATATAGGAATATAACAACGAGTATTTGCCAATTTGGGAGATTGATGATTTATAATAGTTTCATTATGTGTAATCATTAATTAATGAAAGGTTTAATGATGTGGGTATGTTTGCTTAGCATGTTTGCTTAGCTTAGCTCGTTATGAGTTGTTAAGTTTCGTTACAGAATGCTAATTCTGAAGTTGCCTCACGCAGGACTGTTTGCTGCCAGAATAATTAGCTCTCATTATAAAGGGCAATCGATCCTAATTGGTAATTACATCTGGCAGAAATCCTGGGCTGTGAAATGCTCGCCCCTTGCTGCCGCAGCTTATTTATAACTCAGAGCATGAGTCGCTGCCTTTCCGTGGGGTCAGAATGCCGATGACACCTCTTTCTACTCCTGATATTAATAGGCACCATGAGCTCCAGCCATGTGCTGGGCTTAATTTTGATCCTTTTTACAGTCACCAGCAAGTGTCACTGTCTCTACACGCTGGGGACACGATGAGCTGAGGGTCACGTACCCTTTCTATACACCTGATAGCTATATACATTGCAAAGTAGAACGATCAGCATGTCCAGGCTCGAATCACCTTCAACGTTGCACACACCCCAGTCACTGCTTCTGCTTTACAAAGAAGGACACCCCCATCCTACCATGCACCAACCCTTAGCATTCCCAGACATACCATCATGGTATTAAGGATCTTCTCTGAACTAAACTGTCTGTATCACCAAAACTAGGGCAGAGCGAGGAAACTCCTCATCATCCCATGCCTTATGTCTGGCAGAGCATTATGGGTGTTTTAGGTTTATGGCAGCTGGTGAACTACTAGATTTGGGCACGATGAGAAATGTAAGTTATGCCGAATGATTTTTTCCAAAGATGGAACATTTTTCGGGACTCCCGAAATGTAATCGGATGTCAGTTCCTATTGGCGAGATGTTGATTCAGAAACTGGATCAGGTGAATGAACCAAAATCAATGTACTGCAAAATATGTACATAATATAAATATAATAAAATAATATAAACATTATTTATATATTTTGCAATACACTAATAGGAACATTTGGTTCCCAGAACAAGCGAGAAAAAGTGTTATATAGAGGGATAAAGAGTAGGAGCATATATCTATATTTATATATTTTTTTTTTCCCTTTATTGGTCACTTCCCATTTGATCTGTGAATAAAATCAACATTCAGGATCTGTCCTCTAACCATCAACTTTTCATTCCATAAATATCTCTGTTTTTGGTGCCATGGTTGAAATTCGGAATTTAGACTTAATCCCCAACATGCGTGGTTCGTTTACTCTGCAATTAGGTTACATTTCTGCTCAGAAATCGGGTATTTGGATGAATTTTCATTTCCTGGTAATGCTAATGGTAAATTGTAGCGGATGGCCATGAGCCTACCCGGTAGGCATAATCAACCGAACGAGGGGATTCAGGCGAACCCTCCCAAGCCTCTATAGCTGGAGGCTTTCAGGTACTGCATTCGCCATTTCCAGGACCGACCGCAGGGCCCAATCGCATGGAGCCCAATTTGGCTAGTTCTGCTCCTGATGCTGTGTGTCGTCCAGTTATTGGGATTGCTGTGGGGATACTATTGGATTATTTTGCCTGTTGGAAACCTTGCCTATGGATTTATAATTTACTTGTTCCTGAGCCTCACTGGGATCATAAGCGGAGATAACCTGGGGAATATTGTACCTCCGCTACATAAATGTCAACCTGTATCCTATGAGAGAGACTGTTTGCCATAAAACATTGCAATCAGTCAGCCAATAATGGTGTCCACGTTATAAATGTTGCTGGAGATTAAGCAGGAACATGAACATTAACCCCACCATGGCTCTTCAAGGGTTAAACCTTACAACCGTTAGTAAAAACTGGCAATGAGTGTTGAATTGTGATGTGTGACCTGATAATGTCACCGTTTACTCAAGGAGATTTAGATCATTATTATATCTAATTTTATTGGAACATATGGAGAGTTTGTCTGAAATCATCGGCAGTTAGCAGGACTCGGCTCATTTAGCTGGTGCAGCCCCGTGGGTTTAGAGAATGAATCGCGTTTCACATTTAGTCTGCAGCTGATAAAGATATGGGAGGTAGGATGGCGGGGGTCCCACGATGCCCACTAGACTGCTATGACTACACTCAGTAATAGTGATAGACATCTAATACTGTCCCATGTTTCATTATCACAGACAAATATTGCTATATGTTGTCACATTAACGAAATGTTCATTCTTATAAACACATTTATTACCTGCTTAACAGGCTATTATTATATTATATTTTATATATATGATATCTGTATATTATAACATATCCTTTAATCTTTATAATATAATACATATCTTTCTGTGCGTATAAGATAATATAAATTCTACCATGTGTGTAATAACACATATATATCTTTCAATGTCTATATATATTATTCTGGAAGTATAATATAATTTAATTATATATATATATATATATATCCATCTATTTCTGTAATATAATGTATTCATGCATGCCATTAATATGATGTATAGCCTATCTTTGTAATATAAATTAAATCCTTCCAGACTATAATATAATATATCTCATGCTCCATCATGTTCGTACGTAGCACAAAACAGAGAGCACATACAGTGTTCTGGGCTTGGAACACATTGCCCCCCTGCTCTCTCCATGGTGCTGATGATAAATAATGCTTCCAATGCAAATATTAACCTAAACTCATTAAATAGGACAGGCAAAAAATATTCTACATACCATGCCTATGGAGAGGCACTCCAATGTGTCTTGTTCAGCTGATGTACTTCTAGTGTATTCAGTTAACTGTGTGCTACAGGAAACATAGAAAGGTCTCTTCTGTAGTCACAACCACTCAACTTTGACATTGACTGTCTGTAATTTCCGTAACAATCTCATATCCAATATTTATCAAAGCATTAATGAGTGATAATGAGTCATTATTTATGTCAACACAATCACAATCCTACCATTCAGTTTCTGAAACACTTTTACCATCATCAAAATGGTGAAAGTTGATCCCATAATTTATGTTAAACACTCAAGTTTCAGTGATCACAATCCTGCCAAGCAGGAGTTTGCAACTCTATAATCCATGGAAGGCCTTCACTCCAAGCAAGACAGTAATACATGGAATGCCTTCATTACAAACACAACCTCCACAAATGGAAGACCTTCAGTCCAAGTAAGAACTCAATAAATGGAAGGCCATCAATCCAAGTAAGACCTGAATAAATGGAAGACCTTCAATTCAAGCGAGATCTCAACAAATGGAATACCTTCAATCCAAGTAAGAATTCAATAAATGGATTACCTTCAATTCAAGCGAGATCTCAATAAGTGGAAGGCCCTCAATCCAAGCAAGACATCAATAAATGGAAGGCCTTTAATCTAAGCCAGATCTCAATAAATGGAAGGCCTTTAATCTAAGCCAGATCTCAATAAATGGAAGGCCTTTAATCTAAGCCAAATCTCAATAAATTGAAGGCCTTTAATCCAAGCAAGACCTGAATAAATTGAAGGCCTTCCATCCAAGCAAGAAGTCAATAAATGGAAGGCCTTTAATCTAATCAAGATCTCAATAAATGGAAGGCCTTCCATCCAAGCAAGAAGTCAATAAATTGAAGGCCTTTAATCTAATCAAGATCTCAATAAATGGAAGGCCCTTAATCCAAGCAAGACCTACATGTTTCAGCTCTCGGTGTGGTGTGCTAGGGATGAACCCACACAGGTGTAGTAGCTATTTTGTTATAATGATATCAGCACAATTTGACATTTTCTTTTGTCTGTTCTTTGACAAATGCCATGAGGTTTCTTACAAGCACATACATAAGCAGTACAATTATCTGTTTGTATTTACCTAGTTCAGTTGAATTCTGTATGTAAGAAAGATTGACTTACTGTTTGTATGCGAATATTTAAACTGTGAGAAAATGAGTAATTCTGCAAGGGATCAATGAATAAATAATACAAATAAAAGCATCAGTATGTGTAATTACAGAGTTTAACATTTTCATTTGTCTTTGATTTGAAATCCATACACAATTACCATTTTATTGGATTTATGTGCTGGATATGCATCCTATTTATAAATGAATTCTATGCAAATATTTTTTTTTCAGAAGAAGTGCTTGGAAGTCAAGCAGAGATAATCACTGAAATGAGTAACATGCGGGTTTCAAAGTGAATTCAAAGTAAATTTTCATTTTCAATCCAAAAATGACAAGAATATTCTCCAAATCAGCTCTACTACCAGTTCCGATACTTTGCCTTCAAATTGAAATTCCAAATAATTCTCCATTTAGTTATTTCAGGTGTTCAAAGAGTGAACACATAAATAAGTATTGGGCCACCAACAATAGTAGATTATGCTTACGTAGTGTACCTATAATCTTAATATTAGTAATGACAGGAGGCGAATATTTGCATAACTCTTTACTGAAAATCTCCAGCAGCACAAAAACAACCAATCAGAAAAAAGGAGGATGTTACACAAAAGGCCCTGTAAAAGCACGCCCTTCCTCTTTCTTTGTAGCGACAATAAACAGGTAACAAGATATATAAACCATGAAAACAAACGTATGGCAAAGTCCCAATTAGTCAATGCAGAATTCCGGAGATTCCAGAAGGGGAAATGCTCGAAGATTGAATATTTCCCTCCCTTTTTTCTGTGTGGGATGTGAAAGGGTTTTCTGTCTTTGTACTATGCTAATTTTATAGGGGGGTCAATACTCGAATGGTAATTAGATAATATGTACTTTACAATATCAATAATGGTTGGAGTCATGCAATTGTTCAATATATGCGGACAATCGGCCATTTCAGATGCCTTTCACTTTTTTCTTTCAATATAATTTGTTCTCTTCTGGAGTCAAGTATACCATTCGAGTATTGATCCCCTATAAAATTATCATAGTACAAAGACAGAAAACCCTTACACATCCCACACAGAAAAAAGGGAGGGAAATATTCACCTCCTGTCATTACTAAAATTAAGTTTATAAGTACACTACGTTAGCATCTACCATTTTACCACATGACAGGAGGCTTCATATTTGCGTTTTTAACGCTGATGGTTAAGAAGAGCGAAAGAAGCATGAGAAACTTGGCGAAAGTAGAATATTCTAAAAGTATTCTCACATGTCCAATCTGCGCAACGCATGATGTCCGTTATAAAAGAGAAGGTTTCACTGATAATTGTCTAAGAGATAGACCCGGATTATCTGGACAATCTCTAAGGAACCGCAACACCACTTCTATGTCCCAGAGACAAGAATACTTAGGAGCTGGAGGTTGTAGCTACCCGCAACAGACAACATACCAGAGGATCTTGACCTACTGGCACGCCTTGTATGGGAACATGTGTCCCAAAAATGGCTGAACACACTACATTGAGGGAACAATACGATTGACCTTGAGATAAATAGTTCAAGATGATAGGGATAGGTGCAGTAAAGGGATCGGAATCCCTCTCTAGACACCAACGACTCCAAGAGGATAATGCAGAGATCTGGCATTTCCTGGTGCCAGGGGTCCAAGAGTCCCATAAAAGGTTTCACTTGCGATAGACCCAGGACTGACCAGGATCCCCGGAAATCGTCCAGGCCACTTCTGTTCCAGGATCAGGTAATGAAGTTCTCCCCTTGGTCCCGTCAGAAGTAGAGAGAAGGATGGAAAAAGAAGTGGGTGATTTTGGGACATCTCTGGAACCATGCTTGACCCTGCCAGAGAGGTGCTATGAGTCAGGGCTTACCTTAGTTGGGAGTCTGGTAGGCAGAGATTTGTGCTCACCCTTGCAGATATACACAGTACAAGGTGATAAGGTCAGAAACCACCAGGACTGTGAATCTATGCACGGAGGCTGTGCATGAAAGGTCAGGGCAGGCAAGAACAGGCAATAACAAAGATCCAGGAGCAGGGGTCACAAGCCAAGTCAGTCTTTAAGCAACAGGAGCAGGAAACAAACAAAGAACTGACAATGTTCTCAGGGAGAGGCAGTGTTTTATGCCCAGCTGATGAGCGATCTGCCTCAGCAACCCCAGGTGAAGCCCAGCCCCCAGTTCTGCAGACAATACCAGGTAAACAGGGCTAGAACCAGAAGTTCTGAAGTGGCTCAGATGCAGGGAAGATGTCTTAGGATACAGAAGTGTCCAGGTTCAAATCTCCTGTCTGGCACCTGTGGGTTGACTAAACCTGGCCATCTAGATGGCACAGTGCGAATTGTGACACTATGAGAAGAAGTGAAGCTTTGTGGATTTGTCTGTTATAATGAACTCCCACAGCCACCGTACACCCTCTGACGTTATCATGCATAGACGCAATGGTGACTACATGACGTTCCACTCAGATGAATAGCGGGAACGTTGGTTATTATAACAGACCAATTTTACCTCCTACGTGAGGGCCATTTGAAGGGATACAACGTCTCGAGCGCGCAGCCCTGGATCTGCCTACCTTCATCCTGCAACTACATAAGGGGAACTCCTACAGACAAAGTGAAGGAGATCTACCTCCTATCATTTCCCTACTTTCAGGAGAATTTATACATTATGATTGTCCATCAGGAGGCCTCCTTGTATACTTTTGGGTGAGATCGAACCTAGACTTTAATAAAGAACGTTTTTTTTTTTTTTTAAATACATATATCTTTTTTATATTTTTTTTCATTTGTTATATTTTGCATTTTGATTTTTTTGTTTTTCATTTTTTTCTGTATTGGATATACCACCATGCACTCAGGATTGGGACATATCATTGACACTTTAAGTATACTTCAGGAACTCTGTGGCACAGATTACTGACATCTGTGTGCCCTCTATTTATCCTAGTTGTTTGCTTAACCTTTTTCTATTTTGCTATAAAATTGAGTGCGGTATCTGTGACAAAGTTCCCTTTGCCACTTGGTCCTGGAGAGGCCTGCTAGCCAGCCTCCTAAAAACGCAGAAAAGTGTGCAGCGCATGTGAAGAATTCCCACAAATATATTTCAATGGTGCATACACCATAGGTGGGTGTGTAAATCAATAAGAATAATGATAAATACCCCAATGTCAACGGATGTCAGTAGATATTAACCCTGTACACAAAAGACAGGAAACTCATAGCATAATACTATAATGGTGAACAAATCTGATGTAATAGTCTATATAGTCCAACTCACATATAATAGAGCCTGTTAACGAGGGAACTGGCTCAGGTAATATCGCTTTATGAGATGTTCTTAGATGGATTCCAAAAGAATGGAGCTTGGTCCTCAATATGTAAGAGGAACAGGATAGGCAAACACCAATTAGAAGTATAAAAGCAGTAACATTTATTCAAAAAAGTATAAAATCTTACATTCAAAATTCTGTGATGCCATTAAAAGAGCACAACGCTTTTCAACGATAGTATTCGTCTTCCTCAGGTGCAATGATAAAAACAAGCTCCATACACATTTAAAAAAGAATTTGGGCGCGGAAAACGGGTACTTGGAGCCCGCCCCCTTCACCTGTAAACCAATCAACTCTATCAGCTTCATCGTCCAATCCGAACTTTAATAATGCCGTAATCATATCTCATGACTTCCGGGTTCATGAGTTCCACCACTGGTACTTCCGGGTTCGCATGCATTCCACCTGTAGTAATGGTGCGTTCCACCACTCTTGCTTCCTCATTCGCATGCGTTTTTCCTCTATAGTCAACACGGTCTGTGTTCATTACGAACTGCCTATAGCGGTTTTTAATGTCCCTTATTGTTCATATGGCAGTCCTTACATATAAGTAATCAGGGTGGCTCAGGAGAAAAAGAGAAATGCATATAAAAACATAATAAGTAAAAACAAGAACAAATAAAGGAATTTTTCATAATAAAAATGGGATCTTATGATAATACAAATAATATATATATAAACCTCTAAAAAATATATATAATTATACATCTCAAAATCAATATTTAAGCTGTTAGGAGAGAGGGTTTCTAATTCAAAGATCCATTTCATCTCGGTTTTATTTAAGATTCTTAAATGGTCACCCCCTCTCCACGGCTTTTGTATCCTCTGTATCCCCATAAAGTGCAGACTTTTTGGTTTCACCATTGTGAATTTGGTTAATATGTGCAGATACAGAGTGATTGAGAACTTCCTTCTGTACATTCCTAAGATGTTCACAAATTCTAACTTTTAAGGGTCTGGTAGTGCGTCCTACGTATTGCAATCCGCAAATACATGTTAATAGGTAAATAACGTTATTCGAATTGCACGTAATAAATTCCTTAACAGCATATTCCTTTTTGGTCTTATTTGAATAAAAATTTTCATTTTCCTATTTACAATTTTACTAATACTACACGCTTTACAATTGCTGCAGTTATAAAACCGTTTTAAATCATTACCCTGTACGTTGTTTTGGGAATTTTTAGGGATAAAACTATTAGTTAAAACATTTTTAAGATTACTAGCGCCTCTGTACACTACTTGTGTTTTTTCTCCTACAAATGTAAGGAGATCTTCATTTTGTCTGAGGATATGCCAGGAATTTTATGAAACATATTACTTTGGGAATTAAAATCACAAATAAAAGAAACTTGTTTTTATCCTTATTCTTATTGATTTACACACCAACCTAAGGTATATGCACCATTGAAATATATTTGTGGGAATTCTTCACATGCGCTGCACATTTTTCTGCATTTTTTGTCTTTGTTTCCGTGGGATTTTTGTGATGAAACCCCACTAGTGTGTTCTAGCAGCAATTTTCTAGCGCCACAAATTGTACCTTTCTTTTTGGTCTTGTTCTAGCCAGCCTCCTGCCCTGTGACTATGGCCCTGGGTTGAATGGCCCTTTAAGACTATTATTTGGGCTTATGGACTTTCATTGGGCTGGTGCTGGCCCTTTAAGCACATTTTTGGGACATAGTGAAAATTGGAACAATGCCCCTTTAAAACTGTGTCCCCAGACTGTGAAAATAACTTGTACATGGCGTTTTCCCTTATGGTTTGGTAAATGGGGCTTGCCGAACCATTTACTGCACAGGCGGACCACACAGAAATGGAAGTGTGCAGTTACCTCCCAGGCTGGTGGTTAACCGCAATGTTAATTGCCGACCGAATCTTTGTTAGTCGAAAGCGGTCAGAGGTGTGTGCAGCCAAATCCCTGGAACTGAAATCGGCTACACATTTGCACGAACACCGCTGACCCTTACCTTCTCCTCCACTCAGTTTTCAGCCGCAGCGTCTAAGTCCCGTTCGGCGATTTGAACACATAGGGAGACTAAGCTATTTGAACGAACGGTGCCCTGTTCGTGCATGCGAACAGGACCTAGTCATTTTCTCAGTGAAATTGATGGACCTCACAGCCCAAATCTATGGAACTGTTTTGGGCAGGAAAACTAACTTTTTAACCCCTGGAGCGAATTGCCTGAATTTTCGATATGTTTATATTTGAAGTATGCGGAGTAATAATATGTGTGTATATTGGGGGGAGGAGCGATGACGTAACACGTGGTTACACTTGCGGCGCTAAGAGCAGAGGAAGCGAAGGGGAGCATGCAAGAGCCGGCTTGAAAACCGACAGAGGATGCAGCGCGTGCTGATCTATTCTCCGGATAAAGAACGCAACAACTACTATTCATACTGCAACTGTATCCAGCAACTAACGCTAAGTATCAGAGAGATCAGGGAGGTCTCAGCAAGGTACTCTGAAAGTTCTATGTTGTAATGGCTGTGGTTCAGGGAAATTTGGAGAAAGCTTCATGGTAATATATGCAGGTCCTGACATGGACATTTTAGTTTTACTCAGATTTTCTCTTGCTGCTTTTGGTTTCGGTTTTTGTTTTCTTGTTTTTTTTGTGGATCTTTGGTAAATAACTCTATATTTATATACTTATATGATTCAGAGAACAAATTTAAATAATAATATTGGGGGGGGGTTTCAGGAGAGGAAAAAAAAACAAGAAAAAACAATAAATGTTTGTAATTAATTAAGGAAAATCAATTAAGGCTTTCAATTAACTTACTGTGTGGGGAAGGGTGTGGACTCCTTATGGCCAGAGCTAACTGAATTTAACAAGGGAAGAGAGAAAAGGAGTAACCCGAAATAATTGACTCGAGATTTATACAAAAAACATTTGCTGATAAAATACCGAAAGGTGATAAAACAAACACGTGTGGATATCCCGGTCAGTAGTGATATAACTGTAAGGAGAGTAGGGAAGATTGGAAAAAACCAGTAAAACTGATAAAGTTTATCACTACTTAAGCCCACTAGATCCGTTTAAGGAAAAGAGGAACTCCCACCTAATAAAAGAAAGAGAGAAGGGAGGAAAAGGGAGAAAGAAAATAAATAAAAAGGGGGGAGAGGGAAAGGAGGGAAGGTGATGAGATGGAGAGGAGGTGTGAGAGAAGAGGATTAATAGGTGATTGAAGAGGAAGAGAGATGGGGACCAGATGAAGGAATTCATAATGTAGGAAAAAAGATTAGCTCCTCTAGCAGACCTCTGCTCGGGTTGCCATTGTAAATGGCAATTATTTTGGTGCCCCCGGTTTTGGGTAAGGTACCCACAGGGACACTTTCGTACCCTAATATTTATGAGGTTTTATATGTTTGCTCTGTGTGTGATGGAACTGGAACTTTGTTGTGTGAGCTCGAGGTAGGGGGGTTTGATGATTCAGAGAAGGAATTAGTTAGAAACTATGGTTAGATTTGCTACGATAAATACCCAGGGACTTAATTCTCCATTTAAAAGATCCATATTACTAGACTATTTGAAGAAACAGAAAATTGATATCTGTGGTGTACAGGAAACGCATTGGAGAAAGAAGGACAATAATAACTGAAGATCTAAAATCTATACGACAGTCCTTTCTGCATCTCTTGAACACAATAAAAAACGAGGGGTTGCTATATTGATATCCAGAAATCTGAATTTCAGGAATATATATACAGAACTAGATATCAAGGGAAGATATATTATAGTAGTTTGTGAGATTGATAGCGCCATATATACAATAGCTAATCTTTATGCATCAAACCATTCTTCATTAACATTTATAACTAAAGTCCTAAAAAGAATGGACATGGTTAAACAAGGAATCCCGGTGATTGTAGGGGATTTTAATTTAGTATTTGAGCCACTATGATACAAAAAAAAACATCACGGGACAGATATCAGATAGAGGAATTTTCAAACGTTCTGAAAAATTCAGACAGTTAATCCAAGATCACTCGTTATTAGATATTTGGCGTATTTTTCATCCAACAGACTTAGACTTTACTTGTTTTTCAAAATTTTATTATGCATATTCCTGCATAGACTTTGTGTTGGGGGATATTAATTTAGCGCAACAAACAAAATTAATTACAATAAATGAAATTACATGGTCAGACAACAATGCAGTCATTATGGATGTTAAAGACACCTTTGAAATTCCAAGACCAGAATGGAGATTAAATAACAATATTTTGTCAAACAAAAAGAATATAGAATTTATTTAAAAAAAACACACAGATTATTATTTTAAAGAGAACCAATCTGAACAGATCTCCCCCTCAGGAATATGGTGCTCATATAAAGCAGTGATTATGGGATTATTGATTAAACTAGCCTCTGAGAATAGAGATTATAGAGAAAGAGATTAAACTAGCTTGCAAATTCAATTATATAATCTCTCAAGAGATAATAAAATAACCCCTAACGAGCAGCGGTCGAACAGAATTTCTATCCTACAAGATAGAATTAATGAACTACTAATAATGAAAGTAAGTAAAATACTTGAAAGATTAAAAGCAACTTCCTACTATAGAGGTAATAGAGCAGATAGAATGTTAACCAACAGACTCAAGAAAGAAATGAAACAAAAAAAAAATCTCTAAAATTGTATTTAAAGGTGAGACCTGTTTATCTCCAGAGAGAATAGGAAAGGCCTTTAATGATTACTATTATTCATTATATAATCTACCTCATAACCAATTCGACCCAAAAGATTATTTTAAAGGACCACTATAGTGCCAGGAAAACATACTCGTTTTCCTGGCACTATAGTGCCCTGATGGTGCCCCCACCCTCAGGGACCCCCTCCCGCCCGGCTCTGGAAGGGGGAAAGGGGTAATAACTTACCTTTTTCCAGCGCTGGGCGGAGAGCTCTCCTCCTCCTCTCCGCCTCCGTTACGCCCCGCCGGCTGAATGCGCACGCGCGGCAAGAGCTGCGCGCGCATTCAGCCCGTCGCATAGGAAAGCATTTACAATGCTTTTCTATGGACGCTGGCGTGCTCTCACTGTGAAAATCACAGTGAGAAGCACGCAAGCGCCTCTAGTGGCTGTCAGTGAGACAGCCACTAGAGGATTAGGGGGAAGGCTTAACCCATTCATAAACATAGCAGTTTCTGTGAAACTGCTATGTTTATAAAAAAATGGGTTAACCCTAGAAGGACCTGGCACCCAGACCACTTCATTAAGCTGAAGTGGTCTGGGTGCCTAGAGTGGTCCTTTAAAGATAAGATAATACCAAAGAACTGAATGCCCCAATTTCTCTACATGAAATATATAAACGGATAGAGACTTTGAACCCAAATAAAGCGCCAGGACCAGATGGATTTACAGAGATTTTCTATAGATTATTGAAAAAGGAAATATCTCCATATTTAGAAACTACTTTTAATGAATTTATATTAAAGACTAAAATCCCACAGGAAATTCTTAAGGGCAATATTGTCCCAATATTAAAACCAGGTAAGAAGCCAGAGAAAGTAGA